CGTGAAGAGCCCAGGATTGGAAGGATGCAAAAGTGGCTTAAAGCCCCAAGATGCTGCCCAGAATCTCACCCTGTCAACAAGAAGGGCAGGAAGGGATGACTTGGAGGAAAGGTTAGCAGAGCTCCGTATGTATCGTCTGGCGGCGAGCTCTTAAAAGGAGGCTGAAATGGATTTGCAAACACTTGACGGCTGGAAGCTCCAAGAACCGAGGGCAAACCCACGTATAGATTTGAAGAGAGCAGATGCCAGGAAGGGAGAGAAGTTGTCAGGGCTTCTGGGATGGGAGAAGCTGTTTGCGAGTGGTTGGTAGGAAACATTCCTTAATGAGGGGGGTGGTGTCCTAGGGATCAATATTCATTGGGGGAAAAAAAGACAGGGAAACCCTGGCCTGATAGCTGCAAAGGGGAAGGCTGCAGGTTGCGCCACTGCTTTTGCCACAGCCCCAGACTTTCTCAAGTAGCCGTAAAGTGAAATTAACCAGGCCCTCCTGCTGCTCCTGCAATTGAGAACACCATGGACAACACGGTGGTTAAACTCTTCTCATTTAACCCTGTTCAGAATGGGCCCAGGTGGTATGAACACTGGCGGCTTGTAGACAGGGCCTGACGATACGTTGCCCTGTTGGTCTCCATGAATTGTGCTGCTCTTGGCGCAAAGTGACTTTTTGCATCTGGCAGGCTGACGTCGCTTTGTTTTCTTTTCCTCTCTTTTGAGGAGCGGGGTAAATCCCTAACCCAGGGGGCAATTCCACTCAGCAGCATGACAAGCGAGGTGGTGGAGGATGAGATGGAATTTTATTCCAAGGCTGAGAAATACTGGAAGGATGTGCCGCCCACGGTGGACGGCATGCTGGGTGGGTACGGCCACATCTCCAGCATTGACATCAACAGCTCCAAAAAATTCCTGCTTAAGTTCCTTCGGGTAGGTGGTCTGGATCCGTCTGGGGAGGGGCGAAGGTGTCCTACAGCTTGTCCTTTAACTGTGGGTGGATGTCCACCATGCTCCAAACACCTGCTGAGTGGCTCTCTCCCACCCCACAGCTTTCCATAGCTCTCTGTCTAGCGACCTGACCGTTCTGCACAGGGGAAGATGGACCGTTGTCTCTTTCCTTTGGCTGTCCAGTGCCTTCAAGGCCTAGCTGGTCATCCACACCCACTGTTAAAGGGGGATTTGTGAGTGGTCCTGATGTCTGGCTGATCGCACCACATGAAGCCAACCCCAAACCTCTGCCCACTGGGAAATGATCTCAGTTCAATACCTGTAGCAACCAGGTGTCTATGCGGCCTGTGAATATGGGGGGCGGGAAACTCCCTTGTTGGCATCTCAGCTGAGAGGCCACGGATAGAATAACCCTTGGAGACTGAGCCCCCCACTCCCTGTCGGAGCGGATCTCCTCTCTGCCGGGCAACAGGAGGGCAGCTTGTAGTGCCGCTGACCGTGCTGCTCTACGACGAAAGAGGCCCTCAGCTGGCATTGCCAAGGTCCAGTTCCCAGCGCCAATTGCCACGTCCCTCTGTTGTAGCTTGTGAGCTTTGAGGTTCCTCTTGGCAGGGTTACGTCTCTCCTGTCCCTCATTTTCACTTTCATTTCAGGATGGTCCTAACAGGACGGGAACCGCCTGCGCCCTGGACTGTGGGGCTGGGATCGGCAGGATCACCAAGAGGCTGCTGTTGCCTCTCTTCAAAGCAGTGGACATGGTGGATGTGACCGAGGACTTCCTGACCAAGGCGAGGACCTACCTGGGAGAAGAGGGCAGGCGCGTGAGGAACTACTTCTGCTGTGGCCTGCAGGACTTCAGCCCCGAGCCCAACTCCTATGACGTCATCTGGATCCAGTGGGTAATAGGTAAGAGAACCTCTGCCATATGGAAAAGGCCCATTCAGTTCTGCTGTCCCCAGCCTCCTTATGTTCCCTTGTACTGAGGCTATGCACTTGCTGGTGTGAGAGTTACCTGAGGAAGGCAGGTAGAACAGCTTGCCTTAATCCATTAGGTGATGCCATGATCTGCAGAACTGACCCGCGCACCCGTCTAGGGGTGGATCAACAGAACACCAGCTGTTCCCCACACAGATACAGCAGTACTCGGCCCTTCCTATACTGGTCCCGTGCTCATGACTGGTCTGTGTTTTCCATGGTCCCTGCTAACGCTCGTGTGCTTCTCCCCTCGCCAGGACATCTGACTGACGACCACCTGTCTGACTTCCTGAAGAGATGCAAGGTTGGCCTGCGCCCCAATGGCATCGTCGTCATCAAGGACAACATGGCCCAGGAGGGAGTCATCATGGACGATGTGGACAGCAGTGTGTGCCGGGACCTGGACGTGGTGCGGATGATCGTCCGGCGCGCAGGCCTCAATCTCCTGGCTGAAGAAAGGCAAGAGAACTTCCCCGACGAAATCTACCACGTCTATACGTTTGCCATGAGATGAACCCGGGCTGGGAGAGGCTGTTTACCAAGAGGTACCACTGTGCCAGGACCAGCCCAGCAGGCCCCTTCTGGGGGGATCAGGAGGACACCTATCGTGTGGTCCAGACACTTCATGGTTAAAATTCAGGGTGGGGTGGGGTGTCCTGCATAACCCTGCTGGGGCTGGCTGGAAAGATCGGGGTGGGTCTTCTGCGTTGCTGCTGTTTGTGAGAAAAGACAGCTGCCAAATACACTCTCCTGCTGTTGCACCTCTGTACGCAGACTCTGCTTAAACACGCCCACGCCACCTACCCAGGCTGGAGGCTCCCTAGAGAGGAAAAGCCTTGATGCTGCACCAGATGGGGGTACGAGAGGCAGAGTACCCTGCAACTACCCTGCCTTGGTTTGTTTGCCTGCCGCCAGACGATGCTGTGTGCGCTAGGCCTGAATCCAGGTCAGGGCGCGCGGAGGAGGCCACAGCGCCAGCTCTCCCTGCTGCAAGGGAGCGGGGTAGAACTCACTGGCTCCTGCTCCAGCTCACTACTTCGCTGTTCCTAACCCTCCTCTGGGGTCAGTTCAGCGAGGCGTTTCTTGCTGCCTTCCCGAAACCAGTCTGAGGCAGGAGGTTGTAGGTTCCTGGGACATGAAATCTGTTGCAAAGGCAGAGAGGGGTAGATGCTGGGGCTCGCTTACAGTGATGGAAAAGGGGTGATTTTGTTTGTTTGGCCTCTCCTCAAGATCTATGCCATTTCCTCAGGATGGAGCAGATCTTCCCAAGGGGAGGAAGAAAAGAGGCTCTGGGGCTATCGTGGGGTTTTATATGGCTGCCCATCACTGCTGTATCTTCCGCAAAATCAGTAGTAATAGCAAAATCGTTAGTGTCTTCATGGAATCGTGGGAAGTTTTTCAGAGCAAAAACGTTTTCAAGATTTGACTAAATCCACATTTATCTGTGCGGGGGTGGGAGGCGTAGGGGTTGAGAGGCCAGTGCCCCCTTCCCAGGGTTAATACCCAACCTCAGCCGGGACCAGCTTGCCTGCTGTACCTGTTGGACAGTTGAGTTGGGGTTGTGCTCTCATGTCCAGGAGAAAGGAAATCTCGCACCCTAAAGGATTTTAAAAATAATGGTAGCCAAGTACCCATTACCAGAGACTCCAAATCCAGCCCTGGCCCCTCGCCCAGAGCGGGGGTTGTGCGGGTAGGCTGGCCCCCTACTGCTGGTGCCCGTTGTAGAATTACAGGCTAGGAAGTATTTGCCACTTCCTGAGTGAGCTTGTTCCAAGCAAGCACAGTCCGGGCCAGGGTAAGGGCTACTGCTGCGTCCCGCTTGCTCCAGGCAGGCAGGCCATCTTACAGGGCTGTTCTAGCATTTCAGGGTGGGAGCCTGCGCCAGGCCTCGCACACCACCCCCGCCGTAACAACTTCCCCTCCGTTACCGCTCGGCGCGTGACCGCTGAGCAGCAGCCCACAAGGAAACGCTGACTGGTGGAGTAGCTCGGGGGGGAGTTCAGGGCTTGTCTGCATGGTGACTTAGTGCAAGCCAGGCTGCGACTCTGGCGCTCGCTAGCTTTCGATTTGCACCCTGGCTTGCCCTGCGCTACGTCACTGCGTAGACAAACCCGGCCAGCCCAGGGCAGCCCATTCTGGGCTTTTGTACTTTAACCAACCCCCCACCATTTAACCTGGAACAAGCGGCTGCCTTAGCCCCTGGGACCTGCTGCTGAGTCGGCCTGTGTTGGGAGAGCAACCGTGGTACTTAGGCAGGAATTCAGTTCCCAAGGGGCACCCTCCCTTATTTCAGTGCCCTGCTTGGGAAATTAGCCGCCCTCTTGATTAACCCAAGGGGGGGAGAGCAGGCCCAGTGGCTGCTGTTTTGGGTAGGGCCATGGACCAGCAGAGTAACAGTCTATGGCGTCTGACTTCACTGCTTGACAGCGTTAGTACCTTTTTATGCACAGCCCTTACTGGGCTGCCAGCAGCAAGTCCCCCGCTGGCTGGGAGGAGGGGAAGATCCCTCTCGTGCAACCAGCATGCAGGTAAGTGATGTGATCAAGTGCCCAGTACAGAACTGGGAATAAAATGTTGGCGTCCTGCCTGCAGGGCCAGGCTTTGACAATGCGAAGGCTCTTTTTCCCCCCCCCCAGCTCTGGGTAACTTAGGTGTTTTCATTCTGTCCGCCCTGTAAACAAACAGCTGAGCCCGATTTCTTTTTCAGATTCTGGTCGCAGTCTAGTGTAAATCTGGCATCTCTCTACTGCCGCTAGCAATGTAAATCCTGGGAGTCATCAGCATTTGGGGTTATGCCAGTTTTATACTCTTCATCCAGCTCAAAATCAAGTCCTACACCTAGTCCCAGGGTCAAAGATGTGTGCAGGTGATCACTGCCTCCTTTGTTTCATCTCTCATTGAAAATAAGGAATGATTCCACGGGGCCTGGCCCCTCAGTGTTACCCACTTACTGACAGCTGGGCGACTAGCCTCGCACCCACTAAAGAGTGCTGCCGTTAAGTCTTCATCCCCCTAAGGGACAGGTAGGTCCCAGCTGCTGAGCCCCTGGGGAACCCCCCCTCTGCCCCAAAGGAAACAAGCAGCCATTTTCTATGACAATAGGACATGTTTAATGGCTTGAGCTCAGCAAGACACTGGCACAGTGTTTCATTTTACTCCCCTTTGTCAATATGATTGTCAGCTGCTCCTGTGAAGTGTTTGGGGTGGGGGTGGAGGGGGGAGACAGCGGGTGGATGCGTTTTGGCAGGAGGGTGAATTTCATGTTCTTGCCCTGCTGTGAGTGTTAACAAATGGGTGGAGGTGATGGCTGGGGAGGAAGAGCCTCACGTTGTACCCAGCTGCAATGTTAGCCCCAGATCCGTGAAGGCTTTTCATGCCTAGCTGGTAATCGGAGGCGAATCGCAGTGGATTTCCTCACTGGAGCTTTGGCTCTTTCTCCCAGGGGTGAGACTGGCTTAGCAGCTGTTTGGCTTTGGCACTTAGGGTAATTAACACGCTGGAGGGAAACCTGCCCTCAGTGGATGGTGCTGTGACTTGGCCTTTCGTCTCTGCAGCCCCAGGCTGAGATCACACCTAGGGTTTAGCAGGGCGAAGAAAACAAGGGAGTGCTGCAAGAAGCGTGCTCCTCTGGCCAAGGTGCACAGCCTCCAGGAGGCGGCACCTCCAGCCCGACACACGGCCTCAGGGGGAGGGTCAGTGGAGCCTAGGCTGGAAACAAGGTTAGTGGCTCCTCTGCTCTAGTAGACTTGTCCACCACACCCAAGGCACTGCGTGGCGCAGGCTGCACTAGAAACCCCAAAACTAGAGGAGCCGGGAATAACTTGCTACTAGTCTAAGCTGAAAGGATGGCCTGGCCTGGGAATCCGCAACCAGGCCCCATGTTAGCACTGTTCCTACTATCTCCTCCAATAGCCCCTGAGCACGTTCATTTCACAAGCCAATCGTTTCCTCTTGCCACAAAGGTGCCGCCCTCCACTTGCAGTGTCAGCAGATTGCAAAGCCCTGAGCTAGAGATTCAGGCGCTGCGCCCAGCCCTGCCGCTTCCCTCTCATTTGTAAAGGTTTCTCTGAGCCCAAGGCCCACCCGGCTCACAGGGGCACCAGCCTTTACCCCAAGTGCTTGGCAGATGCCTGGGGGAAAGAGAGACGAGAACGCTAACCTCTCTCTGCTCTTCGTTTAGTCCTGGCAGGTGGTACAACAGGTGGACAAGCTGTTGCGAGAGGAGTGTGTCGACGTTGATGTGGCTCTTGGAAATTCTGGGTGAATTTAGTTGCTCCTCTGGCATGTGGCCCATGCTGCAAAGAGCCACATCTCCTGCTTTCCAAGTGGTGGGAGAGCCAAGCCTGCTCAAGGCTCTGCGCAGAGGGGGCTGGCGAAAGGCCATCAATCCCTCGGCCAGCACCGCCTGCGCTTGGGCCTGGCCTGAGGGGAAACCTCCCGCATAGCTTCCCGAGGAGACGGGAGGAGGAGGCGCTCGCTGAATGTTTTCCCTTAGCAGCCCAAGGCTTCTTCCTGCCCAGGCCGCGCTCCCCAGAGGCAGCAGTGTTAGAAGCAGCCATTCGTTTAAGACACCGCTTCAGCCATTCCCGCACTCAGTGCGTGGCCGGAGACTGGCAGGCGGATGAGGGAGAGGGGGAATGGTTGTTCCTCGGCCTTATTCAAACAGCATGGCACATGCAGTCAGACAACCTAGGGGGAGCATCGCCTGAGTCTCTACTCTGGTTTCTGCTCCTCAGACCGGGTTCATGGTCCCAACTCCAGGCAGGCGTTTCCTGTACGTCCATGTGAAGCAGCCTACCAGCACTCATCACTCGTAAAGGCACAAAGTCCAGATCACCAGCCCAACCCACTTATCCCTCTACCCTCCCACCCCGAATCACACTTCATTGGGATTCAGGTAACATGCTGTTGGGGGTGTCCCTTCCCAGAGAAGCCAGGCCCATGCGGCGCCTAAATGCACAGGCCCTGCAGCGGTATTTGTGGACAGCGTGATCAAACAAAGCACTGGCTGGCAGTGGAGGAAGCTGGTCTGGACCATAAGGAACCTCTTGCTCTTCCGGGTGGGGAAACCAAGTCACCAGAGTGTTTGGGGAGGGACTGGAGTGAGGATTCCAGGTCTGCCCCCGCCTGGCTCAGATGTCCTCCTCACCGGCGTTGCCGTGGCCTATGAGGAGATACCACTTTAGCCTGTTGGGAAGAGGAAGTGCCTTGATCTTCACATCCACTGGCCACGGTTTGAGGCGCTGCCGGATGTACACCCTGCAGAGATGTTTCAGGGCCTGCGGTGAGTGCTGCAGCTGCTTCAGGGAGTAGAAAAGGGCCTTGATCTTCTCCCCCTGGAACCTGCAGCTGGTGGAGTTGATGTCAAAGTTGCTGGGCAGTTTGGGGATCTGCGAGCTGGCCACCATGAGCTCTAGGACAGTTTCTGCTTTCTGCAGGAGGTCAGCGGAGAAGCTGTCGTCTTCTGAGCTGCTGAGGTGAGAGCACAGCCTCTCAAAGACTATGTGAAAGCCTGACCAGCACGAGGGGCCGTGGAGGGAGCAGTTGTAGGAGGCCCCAGACTCCAGCAGGAAGCGCAGGAGCGGGAAGTGGAGCTTGAAGCTCTTGAGGCAGATGTGCGTGAGGGACTCGTGGGCTGGGCACTCGCTGGGGTCAGCGCCATGGGCCATCAGCAGCTGGGTGACCCGGAAGCAGAAGCGGTTGATCATTTGCACCTCCTCTTTGTCCCCACCCACCGTCTCACCAAGCAGGAAGATGATGCAGGTGAAGACGGTGTCGCCATCTTTCGTGGTGGCCTTCACGTCTGCTCCTGAAGCCAGAGACAAAAGGGGGAGCTATGGTCAGATGCTGCAATGGACACAGACTCTCTAGCACGGGGGGCTGACGCCGAAGAGCACGTGCAGGTATGTGTCACAGCACGTGGTACCTCTCCTCTGAACTGCAGCTCCATTGTCACGCATCTCCAACCCTCCTCTGCCTGCCATTTAGGGAGTTGATGGGGCTTTGATGGAGCGCACAGTAGCGACTGTGACTGTTTCACCTGGAGGGACAGCATCTCTCTGCACCAACCTGTGCTGCCAGTTAAAACAATCTCCACCGAGGGTTCACAGTGTGACCAATACAAGGGTTTCATCCAGACAGTGACAAATACTCTTAAGAAGAGTGAAGCTGTCATCGAGTGTAAGGTCAAAGGGCACCACGAGATCATCTGGTCTGACCTGTATATCACAGGCCCCAGCACCCGCATGCTAAACCCAACCACTGACATTAGACCAATATTATGATGTCGCAGGCAGAGGATGGGGGGACTGATGTGCACCAATGCCAGGCCCCTGTAGAAGAACTGATTAAGCCAGATATACCCAGCTGATCTTGGCAAGCAACCCATACCCCACGCTGCAGAGGAAGGCAAAAAAAACCCCACGGGCCTTGCCAGTCAGACCTGGGGGAAAATCCCTTCCCGACTGATCCCACATGGCGATCAGGTAAGACCCAGAGCATGGGAGCAAGAACCAGCCAGCCAAGCACCTCAGAGAGAGAATGCCTGGGGCCACCTGAAAGCCCTGGCCCTCCTCATCGAATGTCCTATCTCCAGCCGTGGCCATCCCTCATACTTCAGAGGGAGGAGACCAAACAAACTCCAGAATACGGTGGGAAGGGCGATCTCTGCCTGACCCCTGCAGGCTGAAGCATGAGCTTTTAGGACTATCAGACATGAACCAGAAAGGGGGAAGCTGTGAGTTATTGCACTTGGAGGCAGGTGAATCAGGAGAGACAAAGCGCCAGCTTGGACTATTGCAGGGAGGAAAGGCCAGTGCCAAACGTTACGTTATTTGTTTGCATTGTGGTAGCACCTAGGAACCCCGGCATAGACCGTGGTGCTCGGTGCTGTACAAACACAGAACAGACGGGCCCTGCCCGAACGAGCGCTCGGTCTTTACAGGGAAGTGAGCCAATAGCTGCTCGGTTGCCCTCACCTCCTTCCAACAGGAGCCGGATGTTTTCGGTGTTGTGGATCTGAACTCCATCACTGCTGCCCAGGGCATGCAGCAAAGCTGTCTTTCCTGGGGAAAAGAGCGTAAAACAGGGAGGGGGAGCATTACATCAGAGTGACTTCTAGGAAGGGTCCCTTTTGGGGCTGCCCCTGTCCACAAACTGTGACAGTATGGAGGGGAACACTCTGCATATAGCTCTGCCTTGAAGGAGAAAAAATAATGCACCCCCTTAGTGAACTATTCAAACTGCACAAGGATGCAGCAGCGGGAGCACACACAGCCTTAGGGATTAGGTTGCCAACTGTCTAATCACACAAACCTCAACATCCTTGCCCCGCCCCTTCCCCTCACTCCATCCTCCC